ACTGATTTCTCTATGGAAAAGTATGTGGATCTGTATATTAGAGAAATTATTAGATTGAATGGAGTGTCTGTTTCCATAGTTTCTGATCGAAACCCTCAATTCACTTCGAGATTCTAGAAATCTCTGCATGGAGCATTGGGAACTCACTTAAATTTTAGTACATCTTTTAATCCTCAGACTGACAGAAAATCAGAACGGACCATCCAAATCTTGGAAAATATGTTGAGAGCATGTATAATTGAATTCAATGGGTCGTGGGAAAAGTACTTACCACTGGCAGAGTTCGCTTACAATAATAGTTATCAGTCCAGTATTAAGATGGCACCCTATGAGGTGTTATATGGAAGGAAATGTCGTACGCCATTAAACTGGTATGAGCTCAAAGATCGAATCATTCTTGGTCCGGATTTAATTCAAGATGTAGAAGAAAACTTTCAGGAAATTCAGCATAATCTCAAGGTGGCATTTGATCGGAAAAAGTCCTATTCTGACCTGAAAAGAAAAGAAATTAAATTTGGAATTGGAGATAAAGTTTTTTTTGAAGGTATCTCCCTATAAAAAGGTATTACGGTTTGGTCAGAAGAGAAACTTGAGTCCTAGATTCATTGGGCCATATGAGATCGTTAAACGGATAAGACCAGTAGCATATCAGTTAGATTTGCCACCTGAAATTGAGAAAATTCATAACGTCTTCCATGTGTCCATGTTACGGAATTACAGGTCCGATCCCTCCCATATCGTTACACAAGAGCAAATAGAAGTCCAACCTGATTTGACCTATAAAGAAGAACCAGTGCAAATACTGTCTTATGAAGTCAAATAGTTGAGGAATAAAGCGGTTATATTGGTCAAAGTGCTATGGAGAAATCACAATGTAGAGAAAGTCACATGGGAACGTAAAGAGGATATACGACATCAATACCCTCATATGTTCGTGAAATGAAAATTCGGGGATGAATTTTCTTAAGGGGGAGATTTGTAACATCCTCAATATCGGGTTAGTGACCAAATTGTGAGATTTTAAAATTCAGTAACCAAATTAGATAAATTGAAAGTTCAACTACTTAATTGAAATATTTTATATAGGATGGTTTAACAAGGAATGAGGAATTATAAGGGTAAATGGGTCATTGAGCAAGTGAAATAATTTAATATTAGTTGTGGATATTTATTAACCCATGTGGAGCATATGTTTGGGAAAAACAAAGTGTCCAGACTTCTCTTCTCCAACTTTCTTCTTCTCCAACGGTGAAGCTTCATAGCTAAGGTAAGTTTGATTTCTTTTGGTTAACCCTTAAGGTTCAAGCATTGTTTTGGTTAATGAAGCTGTAAGAAAGATAATGGAGATAAAAAGGGACATAGAAACTCAAAGAGTTGTAAGTTATGGAGGATTAAAGACAAGAAGTGGATAAGTGAAATTTTGAATAAGAGTATATAAATGAAATTAGAAGCTGAATTTGACTTGTCATAGTTATGAATAAGAAGTTATAAGTGTTAGAAATGAGTTTGGATTACATGGAAAATTTAGTAAATTTCTTAGTTTCATAAATTGGAATGTGATGTTCAAGTTTATAAGGTGTTAAGAAGTTAAAGGATAGTTAAAATGGTTGTTGTTGAGTTTGGTGGTAGGAAAGGGGCTTTAGTATGGAATTTTTGCTGGAATGTTGATGATTTTACAGGTGAAATGGCTTGTTCTGGGCAAGGGGTACCGATACCATGTAGGTTCTTATAACGTTAGCAGTAATTATTAGAACAATTCTAATATTACAAATAATGAGTGACATCTAGCAATATATCATTGTCACCTGACTTACAAGAAAATATGATTCGACATATCATCTCGGTGATTAACTCTTTTATGTATTACATCCTTATGTCCTTTATATCTAGAATAGGCACAAGTCTTGGAATAGTCACACTTGTATAGCCCATCTACTGTTTCTTGATATCTAGAGTAGACTTTAATTAATGAATAGTTTGTGATATCTCATATCAACTTATTCGAGCATGGCCATGCGTTTCTAGTCTCACTCAATCAAGTGGCCTATGATATATATTTACTATTATGTAGGAAGGACAAATCATATCTTAATCATACACACCCACTACATATATTGAGATATATTCAATAACAGTCTTTATAGAGCAACCAGTTACGGAGCTTGTTTAATTGCATCAAAACATACAACAATATATGTTGGGATAGTATTGATCTCAAGTCTGAGTATCATACATATAGTTATCACAATTAGCAAGTTATGACTGTCACATAATAATCCAAGACATATGCTCATGGTGTGTCAATCCAATACATTGTTCTCTAATAATGTAATCATGTATCAATTCTGACATCTCTATGTCAATGACAACTCATTGTCATCAATCAATAACATGTTAGTCTTAAGCATATTATTATTGTTCATGGCCATAATAATACTTGACTAGGGATCTTTTAATAATAACAATTATATCATTATATGGCCTTTATTATCTTCCATATTATGTTAAACACATATATATATAACTGAAAATAATAGCGACAATGTCTTTATTCAATAAAATTGGTAAATGAAAGTATTATTACAATCATTATATGATTGGTCTTTGGACATACTCTAATATATCCTTCGCTAATAAAATAAATAACTAATAAAAACATTTTGAATTTTAAATATCTACCCTGAACAACACTTACATCCCTCACTACCCCATCTATGCCTATTTCTTGGAATAAATGAGGAGGATCCAATTCAACCACCCAATAAGGTTTAAAGATCTAAAAGGTCTTTATATGAACTTTTTATGAGTGAAAAATAAATTAATCAACTTCTTTCGCTAAACATTTGATTGATTTATTTTGTTAATGGAAGTTATCATTAAGAGATGATAATAGAAAAAATCAAAACGAACTTTTTCTTTAATTCATAAAATTTAATTATTTCTTACCCTTTAATTTTTAAATTGTCAATTAGTTTATGCTTTTTTAATTAAGTACATATGTAAATTTTTTATCAATGTTAATATAAAAATAATATAAATTATATAATAATATATATATAAATATAATAGTTCTGATTATTTCTAAAATTTTATTTTTTATTATAAATTGAAAATATTTAAAGATACTTATCTATATTATATTCTTTTATTAAAATCAATTATCATATCAATATTCTAGTACAAGGGGAACAAATCGTCGTTTTTTCCACATGTAAGGGCGATTTTGAGAAGAGATTGGCAGGTGAGGTTTACACAGGTACCACAAAAGTGCAATGTTGTTGCTGATGGGTTGGCTAAGTTGTTGCATCACCTGTAGGGATAGGGACGTGCTATTTTCACGAACCACTAGATTGTGTACCAAATGTCTACAAGGAAGAAAGTTGCTCGAGTCGTAGTGATGGTCTTGGGTCAGGACATTAGCCTGATGCCTTTCCGTTTCATACCAAAAAAATATTATTTTGTTATCAACAAACCAATAAAACATCACAAATCAATAAAATTATCAAGCCTGAATAAAAAAAGTTATTATCAACTTCAAAAGTACGTTTTTATTAAAAAAGTTCTACAAACGCTTATTAGATCTGTTGAAGATACTAAACAATTTAATAATATAAATCTTAGATGAATACATCTCGATCAAATGAGTGGCAAATATTAAACATATTTTTATCATATAATTGATGTTTCTATAAGTTTAGATTGAATTTTCATTTATAGATATTGAAACTTCATAAAACCCTAAAAACTTAGTTTTCTTTCATTTGTGTGCCGCTCATTTCTTTTCTTTTTCTTTTTTATTGATCGGTCATGGCACCAACTTTAATGTTGTTAGCCGAACGCCAATATTCTTTATTTTATTTTTCTTTTCTATATTGTATCTTAATTTTTTTTTCAATAATTATCCTTGTATTGCACGTTTTCATCTGCCTTCATGACACATTTTCTTATGTTCTTTGGCATATTTTTAAGTTCTTTGGTCTTTTTTTATTTATCCTTTGCTAAGGGTTGATTTAACATCGCAACGACTGATCAAGATGTTGTTTATCTAATATCTTGTGATCTTCCCTGCTTTGGACCCTCGGATTCGATTTGGATACTCGATTTGAAATTCATTGATAACTTTTCACATCGCTCAAGTCTAATTTGCGGTTTATCGCTGGTTTTTCATTAGCTTGATCCTCTTTTGTTGTTCGTTTACCGATGCAATCAAATATGTTTGTATCTATCTTTGTTCAAGTTTATTGGTTAGATTTAATCTTTCCTTGTATGGTTATTGTAAAAGTTACTAGTTTTGTTTCAATGATTATAATTTTTTTCCCTAATTATGTGCTTAATTTAAGATTGTGGTTGTAAATTTTTATTATAATTTGAGATATTTTCTAATTTAAATAAAATTAATTGTTTCTATAAAAAAATTGAACTTTCGTATAATGGAGCTGCCTACCGATGTTAAATGTAACTTTTACAAAATAATAATAATAATAATAAAGATAATTAAAATAATATCTTTATATTTTTACTATCTTTATTTTTTTAATAAAATAAAATAATTATTTTAAATCAAGTCGTGTTATATTATAGCTTCATAATTCAAATCGAATTTAATTTGGAAAATTCAGATAAGTCAAAATAAATTATAACATTAAAACTTCAATTAGAAAATCACATGTCAAATCAAATTATATTCAAATAAAATCTTAAATTTTCAAATCTACTAAAAATCCAACACCGTCCTCTAAAATCTTTAATGGAAATAATTAGAAACTTTTTATTTCTTAAAGCCAATTGAACTTTTAATCTTTTAGAAGCAGCTTCATAAACCCTAAACATAATTGAATCCATTTATCAATTCAAGGATTCAAAACTTAACTGATTTTTACTCTTATTCTACATAAATATATATTTTGCTTTGAGTTTTACCAAATGCCACCAAACATCTGGGCATTGTGCACTACAAGTTCCCAGCCCTGGACTTTTAAACTTGTGAATCCACCCACAGAGCCCAGCACAACCCACTCTTACTCGTTAATTTCAACTCAATTCAGCATTCAACATTGATTCATCTGTATATTTATAAAGCTTATCTAAACTAAAATTTAAAAAAACTTTAAAATCCACAAAAACCAAAAACTAATAGAAGGTGTTGTAATATCCAGCCAAGGTCATGCCATCCTCAATTCATAGCATATTTCTGGGTCCAAGAGTGGGCAGTGGTCTCATATTTGGCTCTATCAGTCTTGAACATGTGAGCAATCTCGGGCACCAGAGGATCCTCCGGATTTGGATCTGTAAGCAGTGAGCATATAGACAAAAGCACCTGCACAACTTACACCACTTTAAAATAACATTCCACACCACAACAATCCTTATAAAATAGGAATAAGATGGTGTCTGGTTACAATGATATATTAGAGTGTCGCACCTTGGATATGGTGAGGGCAGGACTCCATTGCTCCTTGAGAATGTCAAGACAGATGCTTCCGTTGCTGTTGATATTAGGATGGAAAACCTTTGTCTGGAAAGAAACCTACAATCATGAAAACAACACAGAATCCACAAGAATCACCTACTTTTTCGAGTCAATAGGTAATAAATCAAATCAAGTCCAAGAAATAAAATATAGCATATAAAATGACAGCAAAGGATTTAAGCAACTCGTACAAAAGCTCGCTATGTAGGATATAGCTGTGTACTTTGTATTTAGTATTTTACTTTGAATTAAACTTGTATTTTAAATTTATCCAAGTAGAAGGTAAGATACTTATCTGTTTAGATATGAAAGTAAACACCTAGCAGGACTCGTGTTGTAAATCCTAGTAAGACTCAATGTTGTAACTCAGCCTATTTTAATAGGCCTGTTTTATTTGTTCATTCGAATAACAAAGGAATAGAAGAGAAAAAAACTCTACCTTCCAGTAAATTCTCTCATCTTTTCAGTAAATTCACATGCTAATACATGTCAAAAACACCCTTGGGGCTAGTTCAGAATAGCTGTTGCAAAAAGGTTGGGTTGGAAAAAGTACGTTTAAACAGAATGGTGAAAAATGCGATTATGAAAACTTACAAGTAATTGGCATTGCTACAAAATAGTTTTGTAAAGGATTGAAATGGGAGAGAAGTAAGATAATAAAAGTTCAAATATAGGAGGATAATAAAACCATTTCATCAAAAAGCCACAAAAGTACCTTTAGTTCATCAGTTTGGTTTATCAAACCATGATCTTACAATCAGAAACCAAAATGTGTTACCTATTTAGAATTGCATTTGCTGTAATAAACAACTTTTGATCTTAAAAGTTATGCCACCGGCAACGTTAAACAAAGCTTAAAACTCTTAAAGGGAAACAATGTTAGAAAACAAAATCTAGCTTTAGCCCCACAATCAGTCATCAAACCAAAATGAAACAAAATTTTCAATTAAAAATAATAATAAAACAGATATCACCAAAAAGAGGAGTTTAACCTTGGGCGGCTTGAAAGGATAGTCTGGGGGGAAGTGAATTGCAACAAGAAACACTCCTCCAGCAAAGGGACTGTCTGCTGGGCCCATTATCGTTGCTTGCCAGTGGAATATATCATCAGCAACAGGGCCTGCACATATACACACACCATTATTTTAAAGAAAATGTTTAATTAATTACAATGAAAAGCCAAAACCTGACCGCATGTGGCCATTATTAAGGTTTCAGTATTATATTAATCAAAAACCCTGTATGAATCTAGACACAATCAGTGACAGATCCAGAAATATGTTTTTGGCGTGGACGCATCACACAAGTGCGTGTGTGTATTAACAACATAAAATTTTTGTATGGGGTGGGGACAAATAAAATTTCAAGATGGACCATCTCTAACTCGTCGAGAACTCGGTGTGTCTCGTCCTTGAACCTATCCTCCATGGACTCCAATTTATCAAGGCCGGACTCCGGTGTCCAAGCATAGGGATGTCATGATGAGTTCGCAATAAATGCTTGAGGCGACGGAAGCACACCAAGGGGAGCTGGATCTCGAGGTGGAGAGGCTCAAGGGTGAAGCTCAAGGCATGTTCGAGTGAGACAGTACGTTCACTCATGAAGACGAGGAGAATCTTGATGAGGAACAAGAAGAGAAACTAACAATAGATGAGAGATGGGCTTATTTGATGGAAGGTCTTATTTTCCACACGGAGAGGCTCATCAAGTGACACAATCAGTAAAATAGGTAATTATATGAAGAAAAATCGAATTTCAGGATGGACTCTAACCCACCCTAGTGCCTTAGTGGATCCTCCACTGAACACAATAACCACTAACCAGTATCTCCCTTCTTGAAACAGATTACAACTAACAAATTGTGGTACTATTACTTGCACCCTAGACATGCACCGATATCAGCTATCTTCAATTAAGCAACCAAGTATTTGTAAACCGCATACATATGTATGAATGTATGTATATTAAGTAGTAGGGACATGAATCACCGGGTTTCATTTGATTCAACAAATTCCATCATTTATTGGAAGAAAACAAATTAACGGAGTAGCTAAAACAAGGAAACAAACCAGCACTGCATGAAACGGGAGGGTCCTTCTGCAGATCCTTCAACTCCTTGTTGATTCGCTTTGAAGCCATTATTAAGAAGCCCTCTCTCAAGTCTTAAGCAGACAATAGAAGGATAAACTGCAGTAACATCAAATTGAATGTAACTGAGAATATATAATAATAATATACCTAAATAACAGTCAACCGGGTCAACAACAACTGTTACAAAATTATCAGTAATAAATGTATAAATATATAAACACAGAGGCAAAAACCTTTTGGATTCCCAGAAAAGGCAGTTAATGCAAGTGTAATTACGTTGAGATTGCATTGAAAGAAATTAATGGTGGTTTATGTTCCAGATTTTCTATTGAGCGGTGCATTGAAAGAAATTAATGGTGGTTTCTCTTCCAGATTTTCTAGGCGAGCGAACAAGCAGAGGGCACATAACTTAATCGAACGAACAGATAACAACAACAACAATAAAAATTACAGAGATTAAATTAAAAAGGGAAGCGAATAATAGAAACCCAAAACAGATGCAAAAAAAGAAAGAAAATTGATGATAAAACGAAAGAAGTTAGTAGAAAAAGCAGAAGATAGAAAGAGGTACCTTGGACTTGGAGGTGAGAATTGGGAACGAAAGAATCTGATTATTAGGTTACTTTTCTCGTACATTACGTAGCGGAAGGAAAATATTTGGGCATTCCCCTGAATATAAAGAGGAGGCATTGGGGGCGGTGATTCTCTGCCACGCGGCCCTCTTATATTATTATCTTTTGTAATGTGAAATGAATTCGATTTAACCCAGAATTTATATACACAAAAGGTAAAACTTTGAGAATAGGACAAAGAGTAAGTAGATGAGAGCAGTTGTTTATCTTTATATAAACATGGGTTGCCATTGAAATGCATGAGATTTCAACCATAAAATAGAATAAAGTTAAAAACTTGGGTCGGTTTTTGTTTGTTGTTATATGTTGAAAGTCAGCGCAGATAGTTTGGGTTAGTGTCCTACCATTACCCTCAACAGCAAGTGTCATTGCCAGCCAAGGCGCCTGCAATTTCATCACATATTCCTCCTCTCTCCGTGGTTGCTTCCCCCTCTAGTTTCCTCTCTAAATACCTTAATCTAACATCAACCTAGACACACACACACAAAAAAAAAAACCGTTCCTTTTTCATCTCTTTTCGCCCCGTAATTACATTACTTCTCGTTTGCTGTTGGAAGCTAGCTTGACTCATCAAGCCTCTCCTTTTATTTTGGCTGTTTTACTTCTACTGGGTTTAGGAGGTACTCTTAAAAAAATCCCTGCTTTGTTGTTGATTTGATGTTCATGCTTCTGCTTTTCTTTTTTGGATTTGGTATTTGTTCTTTGAGATCGAAAAGTCAACTTTTCTTATTTGATTGATGCCCTTGAGTAGATGAAGCCGTTGAATGTTGATAGTTCCGCAAATACCCGTCGTTTATCTTTTAATTGTATTCCTGGTGTGATGCAATGAACTGGTTCAATTGATTAGTTTTTTTTTTTAATGTTTGTATGGGCAGTCTAACTCTAACCTGTCCTCAGTGATCACTGGAAATGGGAGGTGTATCTGGAAAGCTTGAATCACCCGAGACAAAACTGGAAGCTAAGATGGTTGAAGCTATGCAGCGCAGGGCTTCTAAAGGAACTGCAATCAAATCCTTTAACAGCGTCATCTTAAAATTCCCTAAAATTGATGACAGCTTAAGGAACTGCAGAGCTATTTTTGAGCAGTTTGGTAAGTGAGTGATATCATGGCTGTTGCAGTGATTCGAATGATGAAATTTTTAGCAATCGATTGTTTATTTACGCCATCGAATTCGGTCTTAAAACACCCTTTTTCATTGTTGTTCGTAATACATTGAGGAACATGTTTGCTTCCATTGATTAATTTTGCAGATGAGGACTCGAATGGAGCAATAGACCATGAAGAGCTGAAAAAATGTTTGCACAAGCTTGGAGTTTGTATCACAGAGGAGGAGATAAATGATCTGTTCAAGGCATGCGATATCAACCAGGATATGGGGATCAAATTCAACGAGTTCATCGTTCTTCTTTGCCTAGTATATCTTCTCAAGGACAATGCTACCGAATCCGAAGCCGTATCCTTGATTTTCACTGTGTTTGTTTTGTCTTTGAGGTGGTGTCAGGTGTGTTTCATCATATATCCCACATGCCATTGCCTTGGTGATGGCATGGAATTTAGTTTGTGTGTCAGGTTAAAATGTCTGTAAATTTTGCCATGTTTTAAGAACAGAACCAATGGCATTCACCCGTGTTAATGTGTTCCATGACAATGAAGTAAGAAATCGAGAATGGGAGTGCCGAATTTGGAGGCGACATTCCAAAGATTGGTAGATGCATTTGTGTTGCTGGACAAGAACAAGGATGGCTATGTTAGCAAGAATGAGATGGTTCAAGCTATAAATGAATATGGGGAGCATTCCAGTGGACCAATAGCCACCAAAAGATTTGGTTAGCTCTCTCTTTCTGTTAACTACAACATCTATTTTCGCTATTTCAACGATAAAAAATTAATATAAAACTTTTACTTTTACATTGTATAACTGGATTCATGATTCAATTACACCGTGTAAAACTTTTTTAATTTTATACGTTTTAGGACCATGAGAGAAATTAAAGGCTGAGATTAATAGCAGAAATAAGAAGATATTAATTGAAAAAAAAAACAAGAGTTAATCTCCGCCTTTGATTTCTCTCAGTCTAATGATCCTAAAAAAGTGTAAATTTTAGTTTTTCACGGTGTAAGTAAATCCTAACCCATATATATATATATATGTGTGTGAAAATAATGTAGCAAGTAACTCAAATTCACATGCTAACATGTGCGTCTCGGTGTTTAATTTACTTTGCATTGACAAGTTATGCAGAAAATAACATTGTTTAGAAGGCAATGAGTCGGTTGTGTCAGCGTAGATTGAGGAATGAACTTTAGAAAAATAAACAGACACAAGAGAAGATCGCAGTTGCAGTGCATCTAAGATTCATTAAATAAGTTAGCAGAGAGGGATGGTTTATGTGATTGATATTGAATTTGTGTTGCAGAAGAGATGGACTGGGATAAAATGGAGCGGTGAGTTTCAAGGAATTTCTCTTTGCATTCACAACTTGGGCTGGAATTGAAGACGTCGGAGACGACGAAGAATAGACACAAATAATAATAAGATCTCAATCAATTTCACTTATCTTTGTTAGTTGTGCTATGAATCTATCACTAATTGCTACCAGTCAAGCCAACCCTAGTGTTTTTGTTCCTTTGAGGTCTTTTTTTTTCAAAGTAAAATAATAATTATTTAAATAGTAATGCTTATTAGGAGTATAATTTATAAGGGAAATTATCTATTTGGTATCTATTGATTTTCGTATCTGTTTTGATCATTCATTTTTTTTAAAAATTATATCTAATATCACGTTTTGTTTCTATTTAAGTACTTATTTATTAAGTTTGACTATAAACTAAATGAGAATAATAAAGTGAAATTATAACACCCTAATCTAGTCCGACTCAAAGGCCGATGAATTAAAATGTCACACGGGACCACCGAAGTGACTAACTCAAAATTTTTCTTTAAAAATTGATTGTAAAACATCTGACAAAAATCCATCCATAGTAAAATAAAATAAAACATAGAAATAAATTTTTGGAAATACATGGAACCCCCAAAATATCCAAATCAATAACAAATGCCCAGTTTAAAACAAAATAGAGTTACATCTGAATATAAATTGGTCTACAATAGTATATGGCCTCTAATACAAACGAAGACGTGAAGCCTCGGCTATGTTGGAATATATGGTGATGACAACGCTCATTAATTGGTCGCCTATGAACTTGCGCACGGAAACACATTCTATATGCCGAGCTTACGAGCTCAGTTTCACAATAATAATTGTATTGTACTACATGCATTCACTAAATAAGCTGCCTGGTGACATAAGTATGAATACATGCAAAATGCTAATATGAACAACCGAGTAGGCATCATGGTGTGGCTGAGGGTTCTGCATCTCAGATCTCACACACTCCTCTAGCTTTCCTAGAAATACCCTCGGGTATTTGGGGTGAGATCCGAAACTGCATCAGAAACATACACCTGATCGACTTACTCCGTCGAGTCTTGGGGTATCTGCACCTAGTCAGCAACTAAAATCCCTTGGCACTGACTAGGCTATCCAACTGAACTGTTGTATTATGCTAAAGAGACTCGAGTGTCTTCACTGTTTCTCGAGCATCAAACAAGGCTAGTTTTATGTAACCCTAGCTGCTACTGTTTTTAGCTGTTATGAAATTAATTACAGTTCTCAGTTGTAGTTTTATCTGTTGTCATTCTGAATTTATTATGTAACACACATTTTCCGTATACGTTTCCGCACACAAGTCATAGGTGTTACATGACTTTTAAAAACTTTCACCCATTTGTAAAAGCCATAAATTTTTGTTTCGAAATTTAAAACAAAACATTTTAGTACAACAATAAAACAGTCTTTGAAACATATTACCAAAAATTATCACTTTAAATAAATTCCATAGCATTTTTCTAAATTTTGATTACATGCCAACAATTTTCAAAATAAATAGGATTGTTCTACTGTTACTGATGAGAGTCAACCTTAGATTGATGGTAGCTGCTATTGCAGCCCTTACCCGGCTAGTCCTTGCTTTTACCTACGCGTGAAATCAACACACGATAGGTATTTTCTTAGGCCATCTCCAGCCCTCATCTCTACTCTAAAGCTGAAATAATAATTCATCTCCAACACTATCTCTACATTACCACCAACTCTACTTTACTCACAATATTTAACTATTATAATATTGTTTTTGAAAATATAAAATAAAACATATACATTTATAAAAAATAAGATAAAAAGCATAAATAAAACATTCATAAATAACATTGCGAAAATACAAATAAATAAGAAAATTACAATTAATAATAATAATGCGAAAAATATAAGTTACATGATTATTTATTTTAATTCTTCGAATTAGAATATTCATTCCACAAATACTCAATTAGTGCATTTCGTAGAGCAAAATTAGTATGTTTATTCATATAATTTCAAAGTATTTTTTTTATCTATCTTGCAATTTAATCATAAAACAAAAACCAAAAATCATAAAAAAAACTTTTTTGTAGAGTTGCTACAGTAACACGCTACATGTAGCATGAAGCTAATAGCCACGCCAAAGTAGAGAAGGAAAGTGCAGCGCTGGAGTAATAAAAGTGGAGATTCAACTCCACTCCAGCGCAGCGCTGGAGTTGCTCTTAGTGAGACATAATATTATAAAGAAATTGTAATTTATACATAAATATATCTTGGCTATTTAATGACGAACTAAATCGCATACTACATAAGGATCAGATAAATTCTTTTTAGTTAAACCAGATTTCTTTCATACAATCATCAAAATTATTCGTAGTATGCCCAACATACCTATCATTCTGTATATTTTTCCCAGTTATTATTTATTTACCCTATATACGTTAAATGAGAAAGTAATGTACATGTATTGCACTAAAGTGCCAAATGGTCATTTATCTTTTATAATTACATCGAGTGGCACCTTACATGCCGTTAATACACCGTTATGTATTTTCATTTGGGGCATCCTTTC